AGTACATGGCTGCAGCCGAGGCAGCCAAGGAAGGTGTGTGGCTCAAGAATTTTATTACTGAGCTTGGAGTGGTTCCTAGCATCAAGAACCCTATACCGTTGTTTTGCGACAACAATGGGGCAATTGCACAAGCGAAAGAACCTCGGTCTCACCAGAAGACCAAACACATCGTTAGACGTTATCACATCATACGAGAAATCGTTGCACGTGGGGACGTTGAGATTTGCAAGATAGGTACAGACGACAATATCGCGGATCCGTTGACGAAGGCTTTGGGAAAGCCTAAACACAAGAGTCATACGTGGTCCATGGGCATTCGAGAAATGCTTGATTGGCCTTAGGGCAAGTGGGAGATTGTTGTATTTAGGTGCCCTAGCGGCAATCAAATACCTACGTAACTGTACACTTTATCATGAATAAAAGGCCTTGAAGTATGTTTTATATCTTGTGTAACATAACATGGCTTCAGTCCATAGACGATAGCGCTTCAGTAACATAGATGAGGACTACGATGTTCTGATTATGAGACTGTTACTTCTTGACAAAGGCTATGTCTAGAATATCCCTACTCGCACTTTATGATAATACGGACGTCATAACGTATCAAGACTAGTACGTACGAGATGAGATAGTTGCGTCTCATAGACTATAGGTATTGTGATATCTTAATCTGTACATAGGTGCATATTATATCGATAATGTGTGACTGGATTGACCCATCTTGAGAATACTGCATGGATCTACAGTAATGTGTTTATCAGTATTCTCAAATCGACCTTGCTATAACTATCCTCAGACTTGAAGTCATTACATTCTCTGATATGTGGGGCCGTATGCTTTGATTCATAACTAATGTTATCTGAAATACTGGTAGACGTACAGTCATGCGTTGGGTATGCCGCTAAGCATATTTAGAGATGTGAATAATAGATACAGGATCTGTCCCTTCCACTGTATAGAAGTATAATGTCAATAGGCTCACTGAATAGTAGGACTTGGGAAAGTGCATGGCCATGCCCAGATATGTCGTTATCCAGAGACTGATAAATATCTGATCCCTACCAGTCTACTTGAGATTCAGTAACAGTTGATTTAACTATACAAGGATACACATCCCATGCCTTGTGTTAAATCATGACATTTATGACAGAAGGATAATAGTTAAAGAACGTCTTGTGTCGTAGAAGGTATTGATGAGATGAACGTCTTTTTCATAATCTGGGATAATAATGTGTTGCTAGATACCGCTTATTATCTGTGGTATTAATTTATATTAATATCATTGCCAGTGTTATGGATACCTAAAGGGTCACACACTTAGGACTTGTAAGGGAGTAGTATACTACACTAGTGGGAGTAATATTAAATATATAGTTCTGATAATTTTTTATATATGTATTTCGAAAATACATATGTATTTTAAAATTATATTTTGTTTGTGTCATTTTAAGAGCCTGTTTGGGAATAGCATTAGAGATTAGCGTTTTGAAAAAGCTATCTATGACCAGCGTTTAGCGTTTTCAAAGTAATCTGCATCGTTAAATTTTTATCCAAAACGCTAACGCTATTCCCATAATTATATTTTGACAAAACAAATTATATATATATATATATATAATTTTATTTTTCATCACTATAATTATATGATAATTATTGATGTAAAATAATATATGATATATTACAAATTTGATATGGCCGAAAATTTCAAGAGAGAAAATACAAAACATATTTTTGATTTTTTACCTAATGATATATTTGATTCATTTAATCAAATATTTGATTAGTAAAGAATATTTGTCTTGTTGTGTTGGTTGGGAACAATGCATTAAGCCTAATTTGTTTTTGTCCCTAAGCAATTTCCTAGCAATTCCTTAATGCAATGTATTATAAAATGAGAAAGATCCCTCCCCATTTCATATGGGTGAATTTCGGCCATAGAGAGAGAAAGGAGAAAAATTATTATTTTGTGTTCAAAGTTATTTTTTCTAAAGTGTTAGAAATATACACAAAATATTATAAAGAAATATTTATAAGATAAATATTTTACTATATATTTATTACTCCCAAAGTAGTATTATTATAGTTTTTACTATCCTAAATCAAACTTGCTAGCACAAGTTTAATCTAGGACTCCGGAGCAAGTTCGTGTGGATACGTTGGAGGCTTCATGCGTTTGGCACTACGTTCATCTCCTCAAAACCATCCCCGACCGTTTCTCCGTTCTCCGTTTTCACCGTTAAGGTAAATTTCTTACTATAGCTAGTAATTTACGTAAGTCGTTCTTGGGTGGAATCGAGTTTTGGATAATAAAGTTTTGTTTTCCGCTGCGTTATCCAAGCCTCGTTTCCCAACATAGAAAAGGGAGGCAAAGAGAGAGAAGAAAACTTTGTATGTTTTTTGACTCCCAAGAAACAAGAGGAAGAAGATTAGGGCTTGATATTACTCTTCATTGATTGATTATTTTGAATGGAGTTACATACTGATCTATTTATAGGAGATAGAGAAAACCCTCATCCTAGTAAAACTATAAAACTTCATCATGTCTCATCAACAAATACATTGAGGTAAAGAATAGAAAAGAAACCTTTGAAGCAACTTATAATTTCGTTCATCTACTAAAAATTATACTACAAGAAATAATAAATTTTAACTAATAAATAAATATTAACCAACAAATAGTTAAATAATCTAATTCACCATTCATAACATTCTCACTCCTTAGAAAACCATCTTGTCCTCAAGATGGATAGTGATCTAGTTTAGTGACAATCTGGTGTGGCCATAGTGTTGCACCGTTCAGGTTGCTTTAGTTGTTTTTTTGTGCGAAGAGATTCTTTTTAAAATCGCGTAAGGATAACGTATCAGAGGCTGGATTTAACAGTTTCTTTTAAATTGGTTATTAGGAATAACCGATTTAAAAGGGTGTCCTTATTTAAACCAGTTATTCCTTATAACCGATGCAAATACCTTTTTGCATTGGTTATTAGGAATAACCAATTTAAATGCTAAGCGTTTGGTGAATTTTTTTAGCTGTTAAATTGTTTATTCTGCTAACCGATGCAAATAGGGCGATTTATTTGTTTGCTTTTGTAGTAGTGTCGTATGATTTATGCAAACAAGATATAGTTCAGCAGAACACAATTTTCAAGTGATATGGTAGAGTATGTTATTAATGGTAGAGTAAGATATTTAATTATATATCAATCAGCTCGATGGGATTATATCCCCTCGCCCTGTAAGATGTTCGGCCCAGTCCATGGGAGAAGCCCACTAGGGAAATTCTAACCAAAGGCTCCTCTTCTAATATAAAATAAGGCTGCAACGTGAAGAAGGGGGAGCCTCCTCTTATAATCAACATACACATCGCTCTCATATTATCTTCCCATATAGCTTTGAACTCCATTAATGGCTATCACACCCACATGTTGTACAAATACTCCCCCGACCATTAATAAAACACCCCTTTTGACATGGCACCACATAAAAAATTATGGTTTTCTCGTGATTTGGGTTTTCACATAAAAATCATGTATTCTTCATATCTTTCATATTTATCATATTATTTCTCTATATTATTTGGTATGCATTGTGCATATCCCAGCAGATTAAGTTCCATCATTGGTACTCTCATTGAGAGATGAGTGATAATATTCAAGCGTGCTCTTGAGCATGACAGGAAGAAAAACAAAGAACGGTAAAAAGGTTAACGCGACGATGGGACAATCATTTGCTGTCGTGCCACCTTTGTCTAGAGGAGGAAGGGAATTAGTTCTGCATTCGACTTTGCTAGAAGATTCAAGGATGGGAAACATCCAACTCCTGTTGACCCACACGATGGGAACATTGTATTAGTTTCCAGGTCCATTTGTTTCGCTAATCTCAAACAATCCATCAGCGGTTAGCCAGGAGTTCTGAACTCGTGGACCATCGTTGGATTGGGAAGAACTCAGGGCAGGATAATTGACAAATTTTAAATGCCATGAAGAGATCGAAGTGGAGAATAAGAAGATCAGGAAGTAAAACAAAGTGGTCAGTCTAGAACGAGCCATGTGGGGATTGAATCACCCAGTTCAGGATGGTAACCTAGCAACCATATCCCTACTCCCTTTATCCGAGAACGTGGAACAACCATGTAACGCGGAAGTCCTGGACCAAGGGAACAAGATATGATGAAGGTTATGAAGATAAGAAAAAGCAAAAGCGAAGATGCATGGTGGGTTGAGAGGAGTAGGTCCAGGATCCCTCTCGTCAGGGATCTGATTTAGCCACGTGACGCGGAGGAAATGACCCGAGGTGCCAGGATTTTCGAGAGACTTCGTGTGCCTATTGCTAAGAGGTTGGGAAGGAACCCGATAGTTATCTAGGCTCATAGTTGATATGACCAGAGCAAGGTTAGATCCTCTAAACAAAAAGATAGTGTCCGAAGAAAGTATAGTGAAGTGCAGAGCGCTAGGTGGGTGCCAGGGGCGCATCACCTTAATGGGAACCGACAAGAAAGTTCTGTCAGTATGAGGGACCTCCAAGAGAGAATTGAAAGGTTACAACTAAAAGTAGACACTCCAAAACACTGTAAAAGGGGTCTATCAGAGGATACTCCATTCTCACGAAAGGTCATGGCCTACCCATAACCTATGAGGTTTAAGGTCCTGCCCATGAAGAGGTACAATGGGGAGATTGATCTTGAGGAGCATATGAGATGATACTACAACCACATGCAAGCAGTAGGAGCGGAAGATGGTCTAATTTACAGATGTTTCCTACAAATAGTGAATAACACGGTTGCAAGGTGGTAGGATTCAGTTCCCCCATGCAGTATCAATAATGGGAGAGACTTGGCAGTAGAGTTTTTAGAGTACTTTGCAGGGCTACAAACCCAAGAAGCATTTGACCCACATTGCCTCTGTTAGGTATAGAAATTGCGAGTCTTTGAATATATTATTACGAAATAGCGAAAAGAGTCTTAGGAAGTAGAAGGGATGAACAATAAGTCTCGGTTAGAAATGCCCACAACCCCCCTTCTAAAAGGTCCATTTTGTGCTGACCTAACCACTCACCCAGCCAACTCATTTGAGGAGGCCATGGTGAGGGATATGTGATTTTAGATGAAAGTGACAAGGAACTAGAAGATATCCACGGAATGTCAAAGGAAGGGGCAAGGGGCAAGTAAGAAAGAAAAAAAGCAAGGAGAAGGGCTTCTCTTATTGAGAGAAGAGTTTTTATTCTTAGGTATAAAAACCTCCTACTACTTTTGTACAAATTTTCTACCAATCGATCTAAAGATGCTTGAAACCAAAGTTTTGGCCGATCATCTACTCACATAAATGGAATGCAATTAGGGATCTTCATCGTGTGCGAAAAGATAGGAGGAGAGTCCCTAGAAGATTCGTCTTTCGCAGCAACTCACAACGACCACCCAGATGTTGGAGGATAG